CTTTTGAATTGAACATTTTCAATGAGAATTTAACATTGCACTACGAGATAATGAAACATATCGGAAAAAAAAATCCAAAAGGAGGAGTCACTTCAGATTGATCTAGACATATTGCATGGGCCACTAGCAGTGGTGGATCCAGGATTCTCACATTGGGTAGTCCTAACCACCTAATGTAAAACGTCCAAAAAAAAAAAAAACGATAAACTTACAAAAACTAAATAATAATATTTTTCATTCATAAATCATGGTAAAAACAAAGCTAGGTCATCATGAATAAAATCCCTTCTTCTAATTTGTTAATACTTGCCACTTAGTACTACAGTCTAGTGGCATTCTTCTTCACTTGTAAGCGAGAGGTTTTAGGTTCGATCTCACCAAAGGCAAATTTGAACCACATTATTGCTAGCCCATTATGAGGCTAAGCCCACCCCCTCCCCTTTAGTGTAGATAATATCGATTGTTCAAAAAAAAATTGTAAATACTTTGATAACTTTTCACAATTTTACAGAAAAAGAAAAAAAAAGGTTTTTCTTTTGTTAAATAAAAATAAAGGTAATGATTCCTATTAAGATCATGTAGTATTATTATATTCGTAGAGATAAGAGTATACAATTCAAGTAAATCTTATTTCTATGAAAAAAATTGATTTAGATGTGATTTACAAAATACGGGATTCTTAGCACATAAAATAGGATTCACAATAAAAACTACGTCTTTGGCCATTTCACCCAATAGAGATTTAACCAATAAAAAGACAAAAAAAACCAAATAGAGATTATAAAAATTAAAAATAAAATAATAAGAAATAGAATAGTAGATGAGAAAGTGCTTTTTTAAAAGCAATATTTTAGTAGCAATTGTAGACCCATGTAGCAAAAAAAGAAAACAAAAAAGAAGTTTCAGCCTTCTTCCTCGAGGGAAAGCTGCAACTTCTCTACCTCCTCCATGGATGCATTGCACCAGAATTTTGATTGTACCTTGGTCCATCCATAACTATGTTAACAAAAGAAATTTCCTAGGCGTAGCCCATATAGTCCTAGGCATGAATTTGTCCTCCCTATTGAAATATTTGGAGGGTCCCTGAAGGATCTTCATAGGCTTTTTTCTGGCATCCGGGTCCCTATATGGATCTTCATAGGCGTTTTTTCTGGAGGGTCCCTATATGGATCCGCCCTTGGCCACAAGTGTGATTTCTTCATAAATAAATATCATGATCTTTCATTTCTAAAGTAGTTGAGTAGAGAGAGCATGTTAAATCAATAACGTGAATTGCACATGCAACATTAATACTGGTGTGCGATGGTGGGGTTTATGAACTAAATGCTAAAATTGCTATGTACCCAAAAGCGGTAGGACCATCTGTCAATAAAATGGGTCCATAATTCAGTGTTCAATTATTGCTCTTGCAAATTGATTTTCCAAATCGTTTTATTTTGGTTTCTTTTACTTTTGCTTATTTTTCTGATATTTTTAATTAAATTCGTTTTTCTTATTTTAGGTCTTAAAATCAACATTTTCTAAATTTTGTTTCAAGTAATTAACTAAAATTTGATTTTACATAAACTATTCATTCACTTTTTGTGGAGAACGATGATAGAATTTTTCTCACTTACGAAAAAAAGATACAATCACACAAAATACTTGCTAGAGTATAAGGATATTGTAGTATAAATGCTCATGCAAGATCGTTCTCCTCGATGACTATTTGGATAATTTATGTAGAAACAATTTCTAATTAATTACTTAAAACTAAAAATTGAGAAAATAGATTTTGAATTTGGGTAATATTAAAAACGAATTTTAATTAAAAACAAATAGTAAATTTTCCCAAAACTAATATGATGAATAAAAAGAGCTTTAAATATCAATTTATAGAAGCACTAGGGTATACCGTACCGTACCACTACTATTAATATTATATCATTTATTTATTCATTTATATATAATTAGGTATTATTATCATTATATATGCACTTTATATTTTTTTTTTCCTAGTCATTTATCCAATCATCTCACCCTTTAACCTCTACTTTCCCAATAAAAAATCCTAAGCCTTCTTGCGTTGCGACTCTTCATCTTTTCGCTTATCTAGCCACCGACTTCTTCTGTGTTGCTCCAGTTCCGGCAACTCTCTCTCTCTCTCCGGAGTCCATCTCATTTTCTCCTTCATCAAATTGGGATGTCTTTCTCCCTGGCTTCATCTATCACGTTAATTTTTGTACAATTTTAAAGAATGTAGATATGGAATTTAAGAATCTTTGTACTATTTTTTTTAGGGATATTGGGTTCTTTTAGCAATTCTTCCATCTATTTACTTTTTGTTTCTTAAATGAATTTCTATAAAATTCTCATAATTAAATAAAAAAGTTTTAGAAACCTAAAGGGAGTGTCCAAAACACATTTGGGTCTTGAATTGGTTTGGAGAGAAAAATCAAATTTCGGCTCAAAACAAAGTGGTAATTACCATTACCATACCATGCCAACCGAACTATTTGGCATGCCGAAATTCGGTATACCAAAAGTTTGGCACGGTAATGGTAATAGATTTTGTCATACCAAAAATTTGGTATGATAATTGGTACATGGGTTTTGGTACGGTAATTGTACCAATACCACCCCTACTTGCACCATCAAACAGATACAAACAGTATACAAAAATGAAGAAATGGTATATTCAAAAATTTCCTGCCGACTGTAATCTTGCACTTCAAATCTGAACAAATAAATTCAAAATGGCCAACACTAAATAATTCACTTGAACTTGCGTACAGTTCATAGATAAGCAAAGTTTAACATTCAATTCTTTAAAGTAGTGATAAGATTCAAAAAATTTGAGAAGCAAGATGAAATTTATGTTCCAGATATGAAGTTGTATTACAGGATACCAAAATTAGCAGTTTGCACAATTCAATCTCCTTAACAAAATCAAGAAACAACAACTTTTAAGATAAATGAGTACATCTTGTCTACATGAACAGAGAAGAGTAATCAGCAAACCGCACAATGTTTTCAAGCTTACATGGTGAAATATGTAGAAAACACATTCAGGAAGAAAGCGGACATTTGCAGCTTTACCCATATCAGAAGGATACCAAAATAACATATTCTAGCCTTCCTAAGTCCGATATCTAAACGTCAATTGGAATTGAAAAGTATGTTCTCAAATTGGTATTCAGTTTTCGATAAGTCGAAAATTAATTAAATTAATATCAACCAGCCCCTTCAGATTTCCGAATTTGGCTTTCAATTTCAGTTCAGCATTTGTTTTCAGAAAAATGAAAACTCAAAACTAAATGATCAAACGGCCCATAACTGTATTGTTTTCAGTCATCCTTTTTGTTTGGGAATAATAATTTACCTAATGAAGACCTATATAATTAAATAATACTATTCAAATTTAAGTATAATTTTGGAACACTTTCATACAATTTAAAATGAATTTAGTATGTTTGTTATCAATTCATGAATAGTTCATCCAAAATCAACTATAATTATCAATTAAAACGCATCCCGCCTCCTTAAGTACATTCAACAACAACAGAGTATATATCAACCAACCATAAAACACATTACATGTTTTATAACCAAATTGTACTTTTATTTACCAAACTCTAGGCCTACATCACTGAATCTTACTTCAATTTTACCACTAAATTTGAATCAAACGTTGTGATTTTTTATGTACATGATTTCAAGAAGTCTTTCGAAGACTTTGCCATGTCTACAAATATTGCGATTTCTTCCTTTAAAAACTTGGTTAACTTAAATTCCTCATAAGTCTTTTTTCATATTCAATTCAAGAAGTTTCATATGAGGCGAATTCGATGCATAGGCAAGAGTTGCATTAACATTTTTTTTTGTTTAACGTTAAGCGATGTGGACAAAGGTTTCAACAAGGTCACACAATATCCTTCATATTTTCATACAAAACCTTGTAAACGCATAAAAGTACAAAAAAAACAAACCCTTATGTGTGAAATATGAAGGATATCGTGCTACCCTATTGGAAGAAGACTTTTGTCTTAATCGGTTAACATTGAAGGAAGAAAACGATGTTGATGCATCCCTAGCCTGTGAATCGACAAGTTTGTCTCATAAAACTTCTTAAATTGAATATGTGAGAGAGATAACTTATAATGGATTCAAGTCAACAAAGTTGTCAAAGAAAGAAATCGCAATGTTCGCAGAAACAAAAAAATTTACATGGCAAAGGCTTCAAGAGGCTTCTTGAAATCATTGACGGAAAAGATCACAACGTTTGAAGGGTTTGATTCAAGTTTAGTGGTAAAATCAAAGTAGGATCCAATGGTGTAGGTTGTAGGTTTAGAGTTTGATAAATAAAAGTAAGATTTGAATTGTAAGACACTTATAATGGTCTATGGTGGGCTAATATAAGCTAATATATATTTTTATATGGTGAAACTATTCATCATATAACTCCTATACTAATCTCAATTAAAATCATTCATATCAAATTGTGCGTTCAAATTAAGCACCCCGCTTCTGCAGTATGATTCTGTAACTATTTATTTATTTTTTTTAATTTTGTTATTAGTTTAATTGTGTGACTAAATAGAATAGTACATACAAAAAAAGTAAGATCACATACAATAAAATATAATTCACATGACAAAAGATACTTGTTTATAGTTCTGTGATTTATGATTACCAACACAAGTATCCATGGCCAAAGATAGATAAGATACAAAGGGAAAGTGACAGAAATACTTTGGTTGTGCTGTTGTTCTCCCCCAAAACTCTCAGATATCGAAAGCCTATGTTTAATAAAAAATTCAAACAAAACCAACTGCGATGAGCTGACAGAGCTACGCTTCCTCCCATTGATCTCAAGCACGTTCAGCATAAAACTCACAACTTTTGCCAATTCTAAAAACCTGCTAAAGTCAAAACCTAGACTTGCTGATCAAGGAAAGCTACACTCATTGATCACTCAAACTCGAGGATGAGTAAGAGTATTCTGGTCTGGAGAAACTAAGTCAACCAAATGAGCACAAAGATCTGTCCAAATTTGAGAAATCCAAGGACCAACACTAGTACAAGCCAATCAAATCATTGATCCAAATTAATAGGCACTACACAGATGTGATATTCCTAGGCGAGTGCATGCAAAGGACAACCAAATCAAACACCCAACAACCAAAATACACACATCCACGACGACAACAGGGCTACCTAGCTTAATTATTCCAAGAAATACGTGGGTCCACAACAACATAGAAAAGCGGGTGATCCTTCTGAATTCATCTTCGATTTTCTTTTAATGTTCCTTATCGTTGGCAGTATTTAACATTTTTCTCCCTCATTCCATCAGAAAACAGTAAATACAAATGATCGTGTGCATCACTTCCACCTGATCCATCATTGTAAACAGCAGCATAATGCAACTCCCGAGAACCGTATCTAATCCCAACTATTGAACACTTACAACTATAATCTTCTTTACGTTATTTGGCATGGTTCAAAACAAGAACATAATAAAGAATGTAGCCGCTTGGAAATCCATCTTCTATGTAGCATATATATGTTGAAAATGCATCCCTGCATCTTGGTTTACAAAGACAGTTCCACTGTCAGCAAGTGCTTCCATTGATGCATTATTTGTTGCCTTAAACTTTAAATTCTCAACTAAATTCTCCGTTCCTCCAAAGTCATCGCACACCAAACCAACAATAGTTGGTTTTCAAGAATAATTTAAATTTTAAGATTATCGCATATTACAGAAGAAGAAAAAATATACAAAATACACATTTAAAGACACAAAAAATTAAAAACAATAGTGGATTATTTTCGATTAATCCACTATTCTTTTTTATTTTCAATGTCTGTAGATATGCATTTTGTATTTTTTTTTCTTCAGTAATAGGCGATGACCTTAAAATTCAAACAATTCTCGAAAAAACCACCTATGGTTGGTTTGGTGTGCGGTGACTTTGGAGCAACAGAAAATTTAATTAAGAATTTAAAGTCTAAGGAAACAAATAATGCATCAATGGAAGCACTTGCTGATAGTGGAACTGACTTTGTAAACCAAAATCATGACAAGTTTGCATTTTCAACATATTTATGGTATATAGAAGATGGAGTTCTAAGCAGCCATATTTTTTATTATGTCACTGATTTCAACCATGAAAAAGAATGCAAAAAAGACTAGTTGTAAATGTCCAATAGTTGGGATTAGACGCGGTGCTAGGGAGTTGCATTATACTACTATTTACAATGATGGATCGGGTGCAAGTGATGCACTAGAATATTTGTACTTACCGTTTTCTGATAAAATCAGGGCGAAAAATATTGATACTGCCGACTACAAGATTACGAACATTCAATATTTCCTATCTCTCGGCTGTACAATGGATCCGTGTGTCCTGCACAGAAAAAAACATGCTATGAGCAAATACAGATAAAGACAGCTATGTTTTGCAGATCAGTACACATGCTTGAAATTATAAGTGTTTTATACCTTATGTTTGCTCAGATCTGTGATCTCCGAGAGGACATCCTTTCCTTTGTATCTCCGAGAGGACATCCTTTCCTTTGTCTCATGCAGACCACAAATATGAATTTTTTTTTTCCTACAAAACCAACTCTCCGCTTTGAGCTCGGTTTAAATCCGTGGGGTGTGTATTACGAAATCAACGGATCCAACACATGCATTGTGGCAGATTGTGTTGTACATTAGAAGATTAAAGGAAATGAGGGTCAATTTTTGTTTACCTGAGGTGTAGGCCGGATCTGTGATTGCAAGTTTGGGGGAAGCTTGATGACCTCTGCGCTCTCGGAGCTGGCAAATCGGGAGGGTTTATCTTGTTGTTTTCCTCCGATTTGCATGTTCGGGGAACCTCATACGGACAAAAACGCAGTTTTTCAGCTCGCTCCATCATGGATGGGTTAGAGAGACACGGATGCAGAGCTTGGATTTAGTTGCTATGAAATGGATGGTTGTACAAATGGGCGCTCGGCTTGAGATTGGGGAACCGGGAGCTCTTTTCGGATTTTCTAGAGAGGGAGAGTGGCGGAAATGAAAACGGGCGGATAAGATGCATGTGTTATGGGAACCCTAAGGAGTTAATTGCACGGATCCATGCCACGTGTCTAAATCGCGTGCATTCCGTGTCTGAAGATGAAAGGACTATTTTGAAAATGGGGGGACAGAGAGGCTCTGGGCTCGAGGCAAGTGCATAAAGAGCATCCAATGTTGGATTAAGGCGGCTAGGGTTTCTTGTGCACGCGTGTGGCTTGTGTGTGAGCTGATAAGTGGGCTGCCTTATGTCTGCCTGTTTGTTTCTCGCGGCCCAGATCAAATTCTTCCAAGGCTTTCTTTATAGCTGCCATCAATATTGGCTCATCATTCAGCCCGTGAGAAGCCCAGCACCTTTTGTCCATCATCCTCCTGAGTTCGAAACCCCAGGTTATCTCTTTCTTTATTTTGTTTTTTTTTTCTAAATTATTTTGTTTTTCTGTTAGTTCCGTTTCTTTTAGTTTTTTTTCGTTTTCGTTTCATGTTTTTCTTTAGTGTAGTTTATTTATTTGAGTTTAGGTTGTTTTTATCTAGTTTATTTTCTTTTGTCAATTTCTTTTTCTTTATTTTATTTTCCACACCTCAGGATAATGTGTGATATAAGTTTGGAGGTGGGAAAGTTAAGTGTTAGGACTTCAATGTTTGTGTCAGTTAAAATTTTTCATTTTTCTTAGTTAATATTCATAAATTATTTGAAACGTTAGAACAAATGAACATTGTTGAAGATTATCTCATATTAAAGTCTTTTCTATTTATTATTGCTTAGACATTAATTCATGAATTATACTTTGAAATTTGCACATTTACACCAACATCGGGAAGTGAGATTGAAGTACTTACTTTTTGTCTAAATGCATTTTAATTTTTGTTATATAGAAAATAAAGTTAGTATGTGTTATAAAGTAATAATTGTTCCACCCGAGACTTTGCTTAGTAACCGGGTCAGTCCTGCTAATTAGCAATGATTCTCGCTTCAAACGGTAGAGTTTTGGCATGGGGCAAGATGATTAGTTGGTTTCGTAGCCTTTTCAGCTCGAGTTAATAAGTCCTTAGGGGTGTTCTACACCTAGTGCCCTGAATCCCTAGTGGTTTGGGAGTCATTGACCTAAAGCTCGCTACATGGGTTGGATCAAAAGCTTAAGGAAACCGACATTACACGACTACTACTATTACTAAAAAAAAATATTATAAAAAATATTCTAGAGAAAAAAAATGATTATATAAGTGTGTGAAGGGATTAAATAAAAGGAATGAGAGGTAAGGATTTTGGTCGAGTCTCCTTAACTATAATGATTCACTTTACACCAAATGAAGTTTGTGAATTGTTTTCTAATTGATTCTGTTTATACCATATTTAGAGCCTCATATTTAGACCTCGTATAAATACTTGGAGGACTTAAATGTAATTATGTAATAAAGGAATGGACAAATATGTAATAAATGAGGAGTCTTTATTCTATAAAAGGATCCCTCACCCTCACAATTGGGAGAGACCAATTCCTAAGGCTCCTCACCCTCTCAAAGCTCTCACTCTCAGAGCTCTCTTTCTCTCAGATAAATACATAATCAGTGTGAACATAGCCCAAACCTTGGGGTGAACCACGATACATCTTGTGTTATTTACATTTCTTGCAGATTCACGGTCGGATTTACGTTGTTCCAAGACTTCTAGTTTTGTGCATCAACGGATTCTAAATTCTTTTCTAACCTCTAAAATTTTCCAATAACGTACATTCCATAATTGAGATGAGAGTAAATCCAATTTCACTATCAACAGAAACCAAAATGAGATACAATGGATTTCCAAAATGAGAAATAGAGATCCACTAACTGCAGCCAATGTTCCATATATTGGAAAAAAAGATTTCCTCCTATTTACAAACAGTATACGGAAGTGAAGAAATGGTATATTCTAAAACTTTATTAAAAATTTTCTGCCGACTGTAATTTTGCTCTTAAAATCTGAACAAATAAATTCAAATTAAAGGGCCAACACTGTATAATTCACTTGACATTGCATACAATTCATAGATAAACTAAAAAGTTTAAAATTCAATTTTTTAAAAAGAATTTGAGAATGTTCTCAGATATCAAGTGTATAAAAACCAAAATTATCAGTTTGCACAATTCAACCTCCATAAAACAATATTAAAATATTAGTATATAGCTGTTATCGGTTGATGAATAGTTTCATCAAAAATCACTCACAGTAATTTTCAATTAAAAACAAATCTCATCTAAGAAGCCAGATAGAAGCAGCAACAACAAAGTATATATTGGCAAACCATGAATTGCAATAAGTGTCTTACAATCCAAATCCTACTTTAATTTACCAAACTCTAGACCTACACCAATGGATTCTAATTTGGTTTACCACTAATCTTCAATCAAACTCTTCAAGCGCGGTGATATTGTCTGTCAATGATTTCAAGAACTTTTCTGAAGGCTATGCCATGTAAATCTTTTCGTTTTCTGCATACATTGTGATTTCTTCGTTTGAGAACTTCGCTAACTTGAATGCCTCAAAATTCGTCTCTATCGCCTCATTCATATTCATTTCAAAAAGTCTAGTATGAGACGAACATGGCGATGCAACTTCCAAAGCTGCATGATACGCTACAACCAAGATATCCTTATGACACCTGGATGGCATGTGCTGGCCAACAGTAAAGCATGACGAAAGCCATAAGGTAGCGTTTGGTACGCAGACGGGATAGGACGGGACGGAACGGGACGGAACGGGACGGAACGGAACAGTGGTCCCATGTTACGTTTGGTATGTGCAGGACAGAATGGAGAGTTGTTCCGTTCTGCGTTTGGTGCGCAGGACAGAGAACGGAACCAAAATATGAAAATGACTAACTTATCCCTGTTCAATTGAACTTCAGATGTGCAATCCGTATCCTAAAATGGTTACTGGTACTAATTCTATCTAAAAATGATACCCATTTCTGCTATTTCTTTTAATTTCTTCAACCTATTTGTAATTAATCCGCACAAAAGAACAACTGCGACTAGACAAAAATAATAATATGGCTGAAGGGCTCCAATTCCAGGAATGAAACTGGGAACTCAAGGAGTTCAAATTAACTGTGAGATTTTTTTTGTTCAGAAATGAACATGTTTTTTAATTTTCTGATTTTATTACTGCAGCAAACTAAATAGAAGGGAAATCCCAAAATCAAGTCTTATATTTTGGAGGCGTGTTTTCACCAAATCAGTGTTCGTGTGTCCCTAACAAATTGAGTGAGTTGATGGCTGTTGCATATAAAGCTAGATTGGAACTCTAATACATTAGGATGGTGGGTTCCAAAAATTTAAGAGTATGAACAGAAAGAAAAATGCATCAGATCTCCTGGAAGCAATTTTTTTTTTTTCAGTTGCAGATCGAAGCAATACAAAGAAAGAGAGACTGAGAGGCAGATCGTACTTGGACTGGAGATGCAGAGCTGAAGTTCACAGAGAAGGTTACAAAGGGGAGATGCAGAGGATGAGGAGGAAGGTTGCGAAGGGGGGGGGAGATGCAGAGGAGAGGAATGAGGAAGACAACGGCAGACAGAGAGAAGAGATATTGTTTTAGGGTTTGTAATGATTTAGATGGTGTAATTTTTGAAAAAGATATGGGGTATATTTGTCTTAAAATGGTAAAATATTGTGTTCCACAGGCGTGGAACAACCCGTTCCAGGGGGTAGACGCGAGACCAAAAAACACCCAAATTCTGTCCCGTGGAACAGCGCGTTCCACCTTTTTTTAGCGTACCAAACGCGGGACGGAACGCTTCGTCCCGTTTCATCCCGTCCCGTCCCGCGTACCAAACGCACCCTAAATAAATGAATCTATGAGAATATGAAAGAATAAATAAACTAGAAATTATGCAAGAATAACATTCACAACAAATACGCAACATCGAGAAGCAAGATATCCAACGATAATGAATATGTCCAGAGCATACTATAAAATGAAAGTGCCAAAGAAAGTAGAACAACAAGTAACAATGATCATAAAGAGAAGTCATACTCAAGTGAAGGTAAGCAAAGTCACTGATAGGGGAAGACCTCGATACTCGGATCGTACTCCTCGTCACTATGTCTTGAAGGGGCGCAAAACAGAAAAGGTGAGTGGACCATAATTTATAATAATACTAATAGTAAGAAAACCGATTTCTTTTAGAACGTACTAACCTCTATTTTGAAAACATATATATAGTACTACATATTAAGTTTTTTGAAAACTCTACATGCCATGAAAAACATTCATAAACAAGTACGAGTAAAACCATGCTCGATAACGCTGCTATCATCGCCCGAAGGCCAATCCATAAATCACATCATAGTTGCCCGAAGGCAGTACCTGTCCATCACCCGAAGGTAAAACTGTACGACACTGGGTTATGCCATTGAAGAAGCATGGTAAGCTCTATCACTCGAAGGTGAAGCTGTACGATTCCGGGTTACGCCGAAAAAGAAAATATATACATCACACACCGACACTAGCCGTGGCTAGTGAAGTTGTCCGACATTGCTTCCGGCAGTGAAGCTGGGGGTATATCATAATATCTCATCTCACTCCTCATCAACTGTATCATATGGCTATAGATGTCTACATACCCGTGTTGTGTGGATGTGTTGTATGATAACCCACTAGATACGTACCGAAAACATACCTCAAAATCTTATATTAAACCCGGAACTCAAAAGCTCAAAGTCTCATCTCATAAATTCATGATAGCACATATTCTTAAATCCGTAAAATAGATCATATTCGAAAGCAAAGAGTTTTATATATAGAAATCTAATAATTTATATCCTTTAGCAAAATGTAATTTTGATAAATCATAAATATTCCAAAAGCATGAATATAGAATCCATAAAACATAATAGAAAACATGCTTATTTCATGAAATATGCAATGCATGCAAACCTAATATTTTATAAAATCATGCAAGTTAAGAAGGGGTCAACTCACAAATATTCCTCTCTCGGAGAACCGCTTGAATTAGGGAGGATTCGATCACTTCC